CTGGGGCCACGCCGGCCCTCCCGGCCCTGGGCGCCCCTCTCCTCGCCCGCCGGTGCGACGCTCCCTAGCTCTCCCTGCACGCTAGGCCTTACCCCCTCCCCAGGACCCAGCCGAAATTTGGGGCTAGGGCCTGGGGTGGGGCTGAGGGCGGGGCTGCCGCCCCGGGGGCAGGGCTCCCGTCGGTGCCGGGGGCCCTGGGTGCCGCGTCACGCGGAGCCCGGCGGAGCCGGAGCGCACGGGCCTCGGGGCTCGCTACCCCCTCACCCCTGTCCCGCGCCGCCGAGGCGGAGCGCCCCCTCCCGCCCGCGAGCCCGCCCCCCACTCCCGGGGCCCCAGACCCGGCTCCGCCCTGGCGGCTGCGCCCGCCCTGCCCGGACCCGGTTTGGCTGGTTCTCCCCGAGTGGTTTGTTTCTCGAATTTCTCCCTTTCTCCCTCTTCCTGGACCTCCGAGTCCCTCCCTCTCTGCGCGGCTCCCCGGGGCCCCGCGGGGGGCGTCTCGACACGGCGCGCCCGCCGAGTTTCGGTAGGACCCGCGACGGGCGCGGGGGAGGGGACGCGCGGCGCCGGGGCCTGGCGGGGGGCGGGGAGGCTGCCCGCCCGCCCTGCGACTCTCCCGCGCTCCGACCCTCCCGCCCGCCGGCCTCGTTCTCCGCACGCGCCGAGGAACCACCGCGCCGCTTGGCCAAGGACCGGCTTTATTGGGGATGTGGGTGCCTGGCCCCAGCGCCCATCTCCCGCCCCTCCCCGGGCCGGCGCCGGCTCCGCAGAGCCCCCGCGCGGCCCCCGAGGGGGTTAAGACAACACTGCCTACTGCTCCCGGCCGGAAGTGACTCGGCGCAGGCGAGCTCTGCGACCAGATGTGCGGCTCCAGCTCCAGATGTTCTTCATCTCCGTCCTGCCTGCCGTCTGAGCTCCTCCTGCCTCGGCCGGTGCCAGGCTGGGGAGCGGACGGAGGTCGCCGAGAGGCAGTGAGGGGTCAGCCCCGCACGGCCCTGCCAGCCGCCGCTGAATCCCTCCCCCGCGCCGGCGGCGGGGGCGCGGGGCTGCTGGGGTCACTCGCAGGCCAGCTTCCCGTCGAAACTGGAGAGGGCGATGGCGAAAGCCTGCAGGGCGCACAGCGGGTACCGGTAGTCGAGGGTGAAGACGTCCTCGGCCACGCGGCCGAACTGCAGCACGATGTAGTCGGCTGTGGACGTAGACGGGGGTGGGAGCGAGAGCTCCTTGGCCCCCCATGCTGGCAGACAGTGCTCTCAACGTCGCGGGAAGTCGCTTTCCCTCAGCCACCAGCCCAGCTGCCCAACACCCATCCCTGCTTCCAGCTCACCCAACACCAGCCGCCCTGGGTCCCCTGAGAGCAGGGACCCTGCCTTATCTGCTGCCGCTGCCCAGGGTCATGCCTGCGGCAGGCACGTCATCAACTAAGGGCCCTGTCGACTTTCCCCAAGCTCACAACCCTTCCTTCCCTGCTTCTCTGTTGTCTTCTCGCCCCATTTTTGTCTTCCCACTCCCAGCCCCCAAGTCCCACCTTAGGCACACTCCCTTGACCAGCCCCCGAGGAGTTCCCTTCCTCAGCCAGTGGCCCCACTCAGCCCCTGTTCCCAGCCTCAGTCTCCACACCTCCCTCAGCATCCATAGGAACAGGAAGTTGCTAAAAATACCCCCAAACTCAGGCAGACCAGGCTCCACCAGAAACGTGATCTGGAGAGCAGTCCCAAGGCCACAGGACAAGTGACACTGGGCACATCCCATCCCTACAATGGAGTGGGGAATGGGAGCTTACTCAGTGTTGGCTAAACCCGGTGAACCTGGAGTCCCTTGGGAGATACCCTTCCATCCCCAAACTTCCCCTCCCTAGTGGGGACCTCTCTTCTCCCTGGATTGTGACAGGGGCATTTTTACTTAATTGTGTTCCAGCTACATCTTGTTTCACTTACTCTTCAAGGATAATCCTTTGACCTCACTTGAGAGAAGACAGAGTATACACTCAAAAATGCTTCATTAATATTCCCTGCTACTAAAAGGCAACCATGTCAAAAAGGTTAAGAGCATGGGTCCTATAGCCAGCCTACCAGGATTCTAATCCCAGCTATCCCTCTTATTAGCTGTGTGACCTTGGGCAAGTTACTTAACCTCTCTGTGCCTCAGTTTTCTCATCTGCCTAATAGGAATAATAATAATGCCTTCCTCATAGCGTTGTTGAGGGATTTAATGATTTGATATCTGTAAAATCCTGAGAAGGGGCCGAGAGACTTTGGGTAAAGGGCTGCCCTCTCTGAGCCTCAGCACCCTCTTTGACCACAAAGGGGTTGGGCTGTCGGTGGTTTTCAGACAACAGCAGCTCAAGCCTCCCTTCAACACGATCTTATCCAGCGTGTCCCAGTATCTACCCCAGTGCTTTGGTCAGCCCTGGCATGGGAACCTGGAGCAGCGAGCCCCAGGACACCTGCTTGGGGTAGCTGAGGCGCCTGGGAGCACAGTGGCAGTGCCTACGGGGGAGAGAGTGGGCTTGCTGGATGGCCCAGCTCCAGGGGAAAGGTTCAGACAAGGCGTGCGTGCATGTGTGTGCGCACGTGCCTGTGTGTGGTGTGTTGGGGCGAGGCCTGAGTGAAAGCAGGAGTCCTGAGGGTGGTGGGGAAGAGCCTGACCTGGGCCCTCAGATACTCACGGTCATCAGCGTGGACAATCTGGAAGTTCTTCACTGAGGCCTGGGTGACCCGGCCTTGGAAGTTGAGGGTGTAGGAGCCGCTGTCTTCATTCCAGACAGGCGGCTTGTTGTGCAGTTCGATGAGGCTCTCCAGCGTCTTGTTCTGCCAGCGCACCAGCAGCCCGTCGCTGGCCTGGGGTGCCAGAGGGGGAGTAAACAGGGAGAGGACAAGTTAGAGGTGGCCGAGATTGCTCAGGACTGACGGGAGAAGGGGCCTGGGCACCTGTGCGTGCCCTTGCACGTGTGTGCAGGTATGCGGCCTGGACACAGATACCGGTTCAGGGTATCCTTGAGAGCATGCTTGGCGTCTGTGGAGTCCTTGTGGGCAGGGTAGGTATCTGTGAGAATGGCTGTCTGTGGGACGCCAAAGCGGAGGGCTGGAAGGGGCATCTGGCACACAGTAGGTGCTGCATGGCCTTCGTACCCAAGTGGTCTTAGGAGACGGCCATGTGTCAGCACCTGATTGATTATAAGGATGAACCAGACAATTCAAGACCCAGGAGGAGAGGCCCGCACGGTGGCTCACGCCTGTAATCCTAGCACTCTGGGAGGCCGAGGCAGGGGGGATCACTTGAGCTCAGGAGCTCGAGACCAGCCTGAGCAAGAGTGAGACCCCGTCTCTATTAAAAATAGAAAAATTAGCCAGGTGTAGTGGTGCACGCGTAGTCCAGCTACTTGGGAGGCTGAGGAGGATGATCCTTGAGCCCAGGAGCTGAAGGCTGCAGTGAGCTATGATGATGCCACGGCATTCTAGCCTGGGTGACAGAGTGAGACGCTGTTTCCAGGAAAAAAAGACCTAGGAGGAGCACACAGTTGAGCTTAGGAGATGGACGGGTAAACAGTGGGTACAAGAAGGTGTCCTTGGAGGAGAGTTTCTGAAAGGAAGGACCAGTGTCTGTATGATGCTGCTCTTGAGATATTTCTTTCCTGAGTTTCCTTGTCACCTGTTCACATTCACAGCTTAGAGTGAGTCCACTCAAGAGCACCTCCTCCGAGAAGCCTCAGCTCTGAGCTTCCATGACACCTTGCTCTTGCCATTCCTCCCACTGCACTGTGGTTGACAGATACTCTCGGGGCATCTCCGTGTCTCAGTTTCCCTCACAGTGGCTTGTTGTGAGGAGCTAATCAGTTAAGAACACATGAAGTAGTCTTTAGAGTGGTTCCTGGTGCAGAGTAGGTGCTCAGTAAGTATCAGATATTACCCTGATGACTGTCGTGTTGACTTTGGATCCCCAGTGTCTAGCACAGAATGAGTGTTTGACAAATGACCTATGGGATGTTGGAGAGACCCAGAGCAGCACCGGGTGTTGTCACCAAGCCCAGAAAGGGCAGGAGCACTGCGTCTGGACGATGTGTGTTTCTTCCAGGCATGGAAGGGGCAACGGTGGGGCCCACAGGCCGAATGAACCCTCAAGACCGAGCCTCCCATGGCTGGTGTCCCCTGGGTCAGCCTGGCCTCTGATTACGGCGTGCCTTTCCAGCAGGGAAGGATGTGTGATCAGCTGACGGGGGTATTATTTTTCATCGTAAATGAGTACGGTGACATCAGCCTCCTGTGAGGATGGGGCATGCGAGTCATCCCGCGTCTGAAATCCTGGGCTCACCCAGCCGGCGGTGCTAAGGCCAGAGCACAGGACTAACACTATGAGGGAGGCCACGTCTCCCCAAGACAGCTCTCCGTGTTAACCTCCACCTCACACCCACACAAAACGACCTTTGCTTTTTAAAACAAGTCATGTAGCTCCTTTGCTCAAAACCCTGCTACGGCTCCCCATTTCTCTCAGAGTAAAAACCGGTTATACAGGCCCTTTCTGACCTCATCTCCTTCCAACCATCCTGGCCACCTTGCTGCTCCTCAAACCCACCAGGCACCCTCCTGCCACAGAGCCTTTGCACTGGCTCTTCCCTCTGCCCGGATGCCCTTCCTCCACGTATGTGCAGGCTCACTGCCTCACTGTCCCAGGGAGGCCCACTCTGGGCACCGTATTTAACGTTGAAGCTACACACACATTATCATCTCCCGTCCCCGGTTCAACTTTTTTTCCATAGTACTGGTTACCTAACACGCTCCATAATGTACTTATTTGTCACGATTATTGTCTGCTGTCTGTCTCCTGCAACTAGAATGCCAGCTGCAAGAGGGCAGGTCTTTGTTTTGTCCACTGGTGTCTTCCAGGTGCCCAGAACTCTTGGCCCTCAATGTGTGTGTTCAGTGGACATATGAGTCAATGTAATAGATGAGTTTGATGTAAACTCTGAAAAAACTGAAAAGCCCATTGTGGTTACGTCAGTGAATTCAATAATAAAAGCGTCAAATCCATTCCACAGGTTGCCAGAATGAATTTGTGCTGGAGGGTGATAAGTGTGCTCAGGGGTTGGGTAAACTGAGTCCCCTCACCCCCTGCTCCCCCAGAGTCACATAGGGAGCAGGACGCTCAGGGACAGGGGCTGGGGAGGTGCAGAGCTCACATTTCGGGGCCGGATGGGGACCCTCTCGTTGTCCGCACTCATGCCAGGAATGATGACCGTCATGCGCCGGGGACCGCGGAAGCCCAGCACGTTGGTTTCCTGGGAGAGAGATGCGGGTTAGGCAGGCCCCCGTGAGGGAGCGGCCCGCCCGTGGAACGGGGGGTGTTCTTACGTAGATCACAGCTGCCAGCTCCTGCCGAAGGCTCCCCACATCAGAGCCGCCTCCACGCTGGGGGTTCTGCCCGTTGTCAAACACGGTAAAGCGGTTCCCCAGGAGGTTGGACCTGCAAGCAGGGTGAGGCTGGGGCTGGGCCGAGGGAGTTCCACATCCCTGCCCCAAGACCCTTGCTGGCAGCACAGAGCGGTGCTCATGCAGTGAACGGCCGTTGAGTAGGTGCTGTATGCCAAGTGCCGGGAGTTCAACCCTAAACAAGACGGGCGTGGGCCCTGCTCCCTGGGGAGCTTACATGCCATGCACAAGCGGGCCCTGGACAGCAAGGTGGGCATCACGTGGGTGCTGGTCAGAAATGCAGAATCTCATGCCCACTGCGGACTCACTGACCCGTTTTAACAAGATCCCCAAGTGATCTGTGCACAGCAAAGTGTGAGAGGCCTGGGGCAAGGGGGCATTTCCAGAATGTCCAACGTGGTGGGTGGCACTCTGCCAGACACAGAGGGACAGAGGTGACTGGCATGGCCCTCCTGCTGACCCGAGGCCCCAGCTCCAGGAAGCCCAGCCCCACCTCAGCTTCCCGATGAAGTTCTCCCCTCCTCGGGACAGGTTGGTAGGGTCGCTGGAGATGAGGTAATTGGCTGTCTTGCTCCGTTTCCGTTTCCTGCCAGCCAAGAGGAACACCTGGGAGGAGGGTGACGAGTGAGAGGATGGGGAGGATGGAGGTGGGCCTCAGGGAAAGAGAAGGCCTGTTTGTCCCATGGCCTCATCCCGGCCCCAGACCCTCCCTCAGCCTGGGTCGCGGCACCTCCGCTCTCCCTCCTACCCACCTTCTTCTCCGTGTCCAGGTGCAGGAAGTAGGAGGGATACATGCCCCGGTCCATGCCCTTCTTGTCCCGGGTCAGGCGGCAGCGCACCGTCCGGCCCTGGGGCGCAGGCCGGAGCACGAACTCCCGGGGTTCGTCCACCTCCACGGGGGGAGACGGGGCCCTCTCCTCCTTCTGGCGGGCAGAGGGCGCGTCAGCCCCAGAGCACCAGCTCCCCCCCTCAGCAGGTCCCGGTGTGGGGGCAACTCACCGCCTTCTGTGTGCAGAGAGAACGGGGGCCGGCTAGAGCACGGCGTGTCCCTGGGGGCTGGGACGCCGCTCATGCTTCCCAGCGGCCCGGCCCGGCCATGGCAGGAGGCTCCGTGGAGCTCTGTGGTTTATTATTTTTCTGTTTAACTTGTGGTTAAGAGCCCGGGCTCTGGAGCCAGACTGTCTAGGTTCAAATCCTGCTTCCACTACTGACCATCTGTCGTGTTTGTTAAGCTTAACCACACTGTGACTCAGGTTTCTCATCTGCGAAGTGGGTACGGCGGGGGAGGACACCTGGGACAGACCTTACTTACTTTACGTACTTAGCACACACTGTACAAACTCCGCCACGGCCGTAGCTCTAAGCACTGCAATGTTCACGGGGTTAACCCTCACGTCCACTCACTGAGGCCGCGTCCCCACTGTGCAGATGAAGAAGCTGAGGCTTACGGGAGTTAAGCACCTTGCCCGAGTTCACAGAACCAGGAAGAGGTGCAGCTGGGGTTCGAGTCCTGGCCAGTGTCCTGTTAGGTCCAGAGCCTTTAGAAGACCTTCCCTCGTGTGGACACCATGCCAGGTGGTGAGCTGAGGCTGACAGAGTGGACTGCTGTGTTCTAGGTGCACGGTAAGCATGGCAGAGGTGCTAGCTACTACTGACATAGTCAGCACACGTATGTACCCAGTGGACGTGGTAGCCAGCCTGCAGGAGGGCTCCTGGTGGTCCCTGCCTCCTGGTACTTATGCCCTGTATAGTCCTCTCCCACAGTGTCCTAGGGTTGGTCTTATTTATTTATTTTTTTTCCGAGACAGAGTCTCACCCTGTTGCCCTGGGTAGAGTGCAGTGGAATCATCATAGCTTACAGCAACCTCAAACTCCTGGGCTCAAGCGATCCTCCTGCCTCAGCCTCCCCAATAGCTGGGATTACAGGTGCATGCCACCATGCCTGGCTAATTTTTTTATTTTTGCTAGAGGTGGGATCTCACTCTTGCTCAGGCTGGTCTAAAACTCCGGAGCTCAAGCAATCGTCCTGCCTCGGCCTTCCAGAGTGCTAGGATTACAGGCATAAGCCACCGTGCCCAGCCCTAGGGTTGGTCTTTGTGACCAATAGAATATGGCAGAAATGATTGGGGGGTCACTTCCAAGGCTAGGTCATAAAAAATATTGTAAGCTGGGTGCAGTGGCTCATTGCTGTAATCCTAGGACTCTGAGAGGCTGAGGCAGGAGGATTGCTTGAGGTCAGGAGTTCCAGACCAGCCTGAGCAAGCACGAGACCCTGTCTCTCTAGAAAAAATTAGCCGGGCATGGTAGCACACACCTGTAGTCCCAGCTACTTGGGAGGCTGAGGCAGGAGGATTGCCTGAGCCCAGCAGTTTGGGGCTGCAGTGAGCTATGATGATGCCGCTGCACTCTAGCCCGGGCAATAGAGCAAGAAAGCAAGATTCTATCTCACACACATACAAAAAAAGAATTGTGGCTTCTACCTGGCTCTCTCCCTTGGGCTCTGGGCTCTGGGAGAAGTTGCCTGCCGTGCGATAAGAATGCTCAAGCAGCCCTAAGAGGAGTTGCGCACGGAAAGGAACTGAGGTCTCCAGCCAACCACGACCATAAACCATTTTAGAAGTGGAGGCTTTGTTTCCAGTCAAGCTGTCAGAATGGCTGTAGCCCCAGCTGACATCTTCACTGCAACCTCGTGAGGCACCCTGAGCCGGCACCACCCTGCTAAGCCACTCCTAGAATTCTGACTCTCAGAAATTGCATAAGAAAGCAAATGCTGTTTTAAGACACTGAGTTTTGGGGGCGATTTGTTACACAGCAGTACACAGCTAATACATGAATCAATGAATGGTCTCACTTTGCTCATTGAGAAACTCCTAATAACAGCTTGGTGACATACGGCCTTAGATGGCCTGTTCACTCCACGAAGGCCCCTTCTGTTCTCACAACTGTGTGCACTTTGTCCTCAAGTTCTGTCCTGCACAGGAGGGGAGTGAAGATTCTAAGCCCAACTTTCCAGCGAGGGACAGCACGCACTGCCAGCCTGGGTGGTGCATTTGAGGATGAAACGCTCTCTGTGAGCCACTAGGAAGCCCTGATGTGCTGCGACTGGCCATTTTTGCTTAGGGCAGGTTTGCAGCGTGTGTGAGGGAGGCTGGTGTGAGGGCAGCAGGCCCTTAGCTCAGGGGCAAGTGACCATTTACTCTCCACTCTAGGCTGCTCAAGAAGAAACTTGGGAAATGCAAGACTATGTTTGGAATGTGATGCGGAGAAAGCCAGAGCTTATTCAAACACTTCCACAGCTGTGACTTTCAAGAGCCTACTGTATTGAAGGCTGCTCGGCAGTTATCTTCCTCCTGGGAGATAATAAGCTGACCTTTCAGTTTGTACATCAGCATCTGGTGATCTTGGTTAATGTGAATCAGTCCCCCAAGACCTGACCACTCCTGCACAAACTAATAAACCCACCAAGCTAAAACCCAGGCCCTGCTCTTGCGGTGATTTCTCCACTGGTGGAAACCCATTTCTCAAAGACTTCCATCGCTTTCTCTCCCTCAGTTGGGCCTCCCTCTTCTACCTCTGCTTACGTGTGTTGGTGCCTGAGTCCTGTTTGTGAGCAGGGGCAATGTTGAAAATATTTAACAACCTGTTCTGCCCGTGGAGAATGCCAGTCAGAATGGACACTGGCAAGCTTGGAGGGGGATCCTGGGGGCCCATGGGAGTCAGGTGTTAACCTGTTAGTTGCTGGATTGTTTAGTTGCTGGGAGGTTGGCAGATCCTAGGTGGGGTAGCAGAAAGCACTTGAGGAGCCCAGGGCAGTAGGGTGGAAACATCTTCCAGCTGGTACAGCTGACTACTAGTCAGTGTGCCCAAAGTGTGTACACACGTGCTCCTATGCCTGTGTGCTCCACTTCCCTGGTACACAAAGTGCGTGTCTCTTCATGCGGGTGGGGGGCATCTCTACCTGTGTCTGATGCTTATGCTACAGAGGGGAGGCCTCAGAGGGCCTCAGATAATACAAGGCCCTTGGGTGGTCAGCCCTAGCCTGGTGACCCCAAAAACGCCTCCTCTGTTCGCACAAACCTGGTGCCCTTTGTCCTCATATCCTGTCACAGGAGGGGGAGCCAAGATTCTAATCCCAAGTGACTCCAAGGCCCCAGCCCACGAGGCCCCACCCTGCAGTCCCCCTGCCACTGCTCTCTGAGTGGACCCTCTTCCCCTCTGGGCCCCAACCTTTTTGCCTTTTCCTTTCGCTTTGCCCTTCTGATTGCTGTTCTTAGTCACCACAGCTGCCCCCTCCTCCTCCTCCTCTTCCTCCTTTTTCTCTTCTTCTGGGCCTTTGGGAGCGCCTGGGCATGGAGGGAGAAACAAGGCCGTCAGCGCCGTGCCCTGGCTCGCAACGTGCTTCCAACACCCGTGTTTCGTCCGGACTCTCCACAACCGCAAGAGGGTCACCCTGCGTTCTTACCGTCAGAGCCTCAGAAGGGCTGAGGCACCTGCCTGAGACCACACACTCTCAGAGGAGAGGTCAAGGTGCCCTCACAGTTTCTGACTCTAGAACCCGTACTCCTCACCTGGCTCTGTACCGCATGATGTAAGGGTGCCCCAGCTCCCCCCCCAGGGCCACCTCAAGACTCATGGCACCAGCAGCCATTGCCACCCACCTTTCTTCTTCAAAGCTTTTTCAGCAGGGCCACCTTCCCCAACCAGAAACATGGCGGCTGGGGTCTTCTTCTTCACTCTGCCCGGGCTCACTGAGGGGTCCTTGTCAGCCTCCCCTGACCCTGCATGTGTTGACGTGAAAGGGTCACAACCCCCACCACAGCCAGAGTCCCCTGGTCCTCCCCAGGCCAGGCTCACCTTTCTTCTTTGTCTTCCTCATCTTGGTCCCCTCCCCGGCTGGGGCTTCCTTCTTCTTAATGTGAAGAGGTTTGGATGGGGGGTCAGGGCTTCCCCGGTCCCCTGGAAATGGAAGGTGGAGTTAGACAAAGAAGGAGCCTTACTGGGGCTGTAGGCTGCCTCCAGCCTCTCAGCCTCCCTCCAGTGCCCAGCGAGGCTGGAACCCACAAGGCCCACAGTGTGCCTTCTGCTTGTCTTGGCTTTTTTCCCCTGAGTCCAGAAAGGTGCTGGGCAAAGACCAGCAGATTTGCAAGAAGTTACTGAATGAGTGAAGGAAGGAAGGAATGCCAGGCCTTCTAACGAGCCTCCGAGTCCTGCCTTCTGCCCTGTCTGTGCCGGGACACCTTCTCTGGCCACTGCTACGGAGTGCGCACTCCCTCCCTCGAGGCCGGGGTTCCAGCCCTGGGCACCTGCAGGGTGAAGTACCCAAGCCAGGAAACCATTACCCTGGGATTTATTCAGCGATTTCTTTTTACTGTAATCACTTTGGTACTTTTATAAAAATTGTAACAGTAATTCAGATTGAGTTCAAAACAAAAACTCAACAACAATCACAAAGAAAACTGAAATCCTCTGTCCTCCCTGTGTCACAGCCGCCCTGGGCAGGGGCAGGTGGGGCTGGGGTGGGGGAGCACATGTCAGTCTATGTCCTTAACATGGAAACCGTCAGAGGACAAACCCCCTGGTCCAGGCCCTGGGTCCCTTTCTGAGGTCTGGACTCCTGTGCGTCAGTGAGACCCACGCCCCCAAGGGCAGGGCTACTGTCCCTTGCCCGTGTACCCCTCTGTACCCTCGACACCCAACCCTCGCACCCTGGGCCTTGGGCCTCCTCTCCTTCATGTCTGCAGAAGTCTTCTCTTTGAGGGGCTTCTTGGGACGCATAGGGGTTTTCTCTTTCCTTTCCTCTTCCTCCTCTTCCTCATCATCCTCTTCATCATCGTCATCCTCCTCCTCCTCTGTAGGTAGAAACTCCCATAATGGGGGCCCGGGTGGGCCCCCTTCTCTGGGAGCGCGGTTCCTGCAGACTGCTGGGGAGTGGTGAATGGGCACAGTGGTGGGAGCCTGTCTTTCTGGAACAGGAATGGGAGTCCCGGCCCCCCTGGAAGGAGGGTGGCCCCACAGTCTCAGGGCCTGTAGTCTGGAGAGTGAGCTGGAGTTGGAAGAATCCTGTTCCGGAAAACCCCCTTCTCTGCAGGGCCTTCCTCTCCCTCCCTGCCCCCCTGCCCTCCTCACACACCGCGTCTTCCCCGTCCCACTGCACCCACTGTGCATCTCCTGTCCTTGTCTGTCTCTGTTTCCGACCTTGAGTCAGACCCAACTGGGCTACTTCTGGCTCCTAGCTGCAGTTTAAGGCAAAACCCTTAACTTCTCTGTGCCTCAGTTTCCCTATCTGTAAAATGGGGGGAAGAACAAGAGGATCAACCTCCTAAGGTTGGTGCTTAGCACAACCCCTGGCTCAAAGACAAGGCCGGGGAAGTGGAGGCTGTTTTCTGCCTCTCCCTGCCCTCCTGTCCACCCGCCCCTACCTCCTTCCTCCCGCCCTCTCACCGTCCTCCACGTCTGCGGCGCGGGCTACAAGGAAGGTCTCCCGGGGGTCGCGCTTCTTGGCCTCGGGGTCCCTGAGGAACTTGGCGTAGACGGTGGGCGCAGGGGCAGGGTCCTCCTGCGGCCGTCCCCTCCGCCCCGCTGAGCCGAGACGTGGGGTTCAGGCGGGGTCCCGCGGGGTCCGCCAGGCAGCGCCCCCCCCAAGCCCGGGGCGCGCCCCGCTCGGACTCCTCCCCCCGCGGGTCCCTCGCGGTCTCGGTTTGCACCTCCGTCTCCTCCCCACACCCTACACCCCGCTTTCACTCGCCTCCCCGCGTCCCGGCCAGCCCCCTCCCCCGCCCAGGCTCCAACACCCGCGGGTCCCTCCTGGCCGCCACCCTCACCCGCGCCTCCGGGTTTCCGGGGCTTGAGTGCGGTGGGGCAGGGGGACTCAGGCGCCTCAGTCCTCTTCTTCCGCAGCCTCTGTCCGGGGGCGGGTCGCTGCAGAGTGGGGGTCAAGAGGAGGCCGAGGAAGGAAAGGGGGGTTCTGAGGGCTGCCTGTTGCCTCTAATCCCTTGAGCCGCCAGAAATAACTGCGGATTATCCGGAGGGACCGCAGCCGCCTTCCTGGGGCGAGGAAGGATGACCCCTTTCATGCACCACGGCCCCTCCAACGCCCCAACGTCCCGAGGCCTCCCCCGGATGCCCCATGTGCCCCAAACACCTCTTTGGCCCCTCGACATCTCCAGATAGGTAACCCCCAGACGCTGCTGAAGGGGTCTCCCCACCGCTAGGCCCTCTCCCCTGTGGGTTCTCACGCAGTGGGGACACCTCTCCGCTTCCTTTGCAAGCGGCTGACATACCTGCCTGGGGCGCCGCTGGGCCTCCGGGCTCGGGCCTTCGTCCTCGTGTCCGCTGCGGGTGGCAAAGGGCTCAGTCCGTCTCCCTCCCCTCCCCCGTCCGCCCCCGCCCAGCCCCTCCATCTGCGCGCCCCAGGGCTCGGGCAGGGCCACACGCGCTTCCAGACCTGTCTGAGGCCCACACTTCTCGGAGGGTGTCGTCCTGCAGCGGCATGGTGCATTCGCCTGCGGGCACCCCTTCTCTGGCCACCCGCCGCTCTAGGAGCCTCCTCTCCGCACTCCAGCTAATCCCGGCTCAACTCACCCCACCCACCCTGCCGGACTCCAGCGGTTGGGGCCTGGCAGCACCGGGAGGGGCGACAGCCAAGGACCCCACCCTCCCCCAGTGGCCCAGGCCTGGAGGGAGCAGTCTGAGCTCTCCAGTTCTTCTCAGACCTCCCCGGACCCCCAGCCTGGCGGACAGCGGTACCACCTCCGCCCCGGCCCGGGAGCTGTGGGTTAGACAGGCCCATTTGTAATTGCCCGTGGTCAATGGGCTGTGGGAAGAAAATATCAGGCCGGATCCTGTATTTATCTTTATTTCTCATACAAAGTAGGAGCTACGATTTACTAATATTTAATATATGATTGACAGACTTGTATGTAGACAATTTATAAAGAAATGTGCCTATATTGGGGGTGTACACTCAAATATTTTTTCCTGATAGGGGACATGTTTTTTTGAAAGGCTTGGAGACTAGGGATAGTGTTGGTGTGATTAAAGTCATGGGAGAAGTTTGGTTTAAGTGCTGAGGAAGCTCAGAGGGGGGGGGCCCAATCAGGGGTTCCAGAAACTTCCTGAAGCCTGATCCAAAACTTGATAGATGGGTAGAAGTCTCACAGGTTAAAAAATAGGCAGGACGGGCTACCAGGAAAGGAAACAGCAAGACTAAGGTGTAGAGGTTGGAAATAGCCTGGTGTGTTCCAAGGTGTGTAGCCGCAGAGGGGAGCAGGTCATCTCAGGCATGGGTCAGCCCTGAGCCCTGCCAAGGAAGAGCTGAGCCTCCTTGGGAGGGTCGCTCAGACTCTCTGAACCTCTGTTTCCTCATTTATAAAATGGATTCGATATTACTACTGACCTGGTGGTGATATCGTGCAGATTCAGTGAGACGGTGCGTGGAAAGCTTCACACAGTGAGACTCAATGACTGGTCCTCGTGTGCCTCTTTTCAGAGCACTTCCACTTTAACTGTCTCCCCGGCACATCAGAGCTGGACACACGACTGAGGTTCGATTTTTGAATGAGTGCCTTCTTTATTTCCTTTGATTCTCACGAGTCCAGTGAGGTAGGCAGGATAGAGATTAACATCTCCATTTTACAGGTGGAGAAACTGAGGCCCAGGGAGGCAAAGTGACTTGCTCAGTGTCAGCCAGATAGTAAAGTTGAATCCAGATCTGTCTCCTGTCAGAGCTTTTCCTCCTAACCCTTGCATGTTTTATACAGTCCCAAGGATTAGAGATGGAGTTTGAATGAAACAGTCACGTTTTTTGTCTTTCTTCACTTCCTTGGTCCATCTGATTTGCCATAATTAATCTTTCTAAAATACTACTTCTTCACTTGTCACCTTTGCTCAAAAACATTCATTGGCTCCCTACTGCCTAACGATCAAGTTTAAATGTGTTTGGGTGGCATTCAAGGCTCTCCCTGATCTGGCCCCAATCTGCCTTTCTAACTGCAGGATTATCCCAAGCCACGCTGCTCACCCAGCCACACTGACTGCCTTTACACTTCCTCTCCTATCTTTGCTCAGGCTACCGCCTCCTGGAATGCCCTCCCTATTCCATGCAAACCTATCCAGCTCTAAACAGCCCACCTCCAGGAGTCCGCAGTCCTCACCCGTCTCTGAATGTATAATAATCATAGCATTTATTGACCACCTACTCTGTGTCAACCTGCTGCCTCCCATTCTTGCTCCACCCTTACATTAATATTTATGAGGCAGACATTAACACCCTGATATTAAAAGTAAGGAAACTAGAAGCTGAGAGTCGGTCAACAAGTATTTCCTGAGCATCTGTTGCGTGCCAAGCAATGTGCTGAGCACTAGTCATACAGCGATGAACAAAATGATGCGGTCCCTGCCCTCATGGAGCTTATATTCTTGTGGAAAGACAATAGTAAAGACATAATACCCAAATTCATTATAATGATCCCATCATTATTATTAATCGTGATAAATGCCAAGAAGAAAAGGAACCGAGTTGCATGAGCATAACAGGTAGGCTCCAGTCTGGATTTAGAGAACAGACAAGGCTGTCCGAGGAGGGAAGTTTTAAACCGGAATGTGAAAGATTCCAAAGACCGGAAAAGAGCGTGCTGGGCACGAGACACAGCGCACGCGCACCGTTCCCGGGCAGCGCAGAGCTAGACCCACCGCAGCAGTCCGCTCCCGGACCGGGGCGAGAGCGGCCCTGCCTCACGCCTGCACTTCACGGGGCTCCTGAGGGTCTGAAACTCCAGACAAATATACGTTCCTAAGAACCGGGGCTGGACACCCGTCTCCCCAGCGGCCTGGGGCTCCTCACTCGGCAGGACTGTGAACTCGAACGTCAGACTTCGACACTGCTCAGGCCCCAGGCACGCTTCTCCCCATGCCTTGTCTCCCGGCCTCACATCACAGGTGCCTGCGCCCAGATCTGAGGGAGTGTGTGGGCTGAGCTGCAGCTGCCATCACAGATGGAAATTACTTTGGAGCGAAGGGAGGATTTGAACAACAGAAGCTCTGAAGTGAGAGAACGGATAAACTAATTTCTCAGACCTCTCTCTCAGGTTGCATGGGTGAGATAGATATTTACCTAACAAGTGTCCATTTTTGGGGTCTCTCTTCCTGTTTTGGAGGTTCTCATATAGCAGCATGGTATTCGTAACAGTTGCACATGGCAGCTGAGGAACTTACAACAATATTAAATAATCGCTATTGCTGTTAAATGGTATATATGTAAATCTCGACATAACACGTGAAGTATGATGGCAATTTAAAAAAATGTTTCCTCCCTCCCTTCCTTCCTTCCTGCCTTCTTTCTTAAATATATGCTGCCAGGAATGCTGTGTTGAGAAGCAACTCTTTTTTTTTTCTGAGGCAATGTCTCCAACTGTCACCCCATCTAGATTGCAGTGAGTGGTGTCATCATAGCTCACTGCAACCTCAAATTCTTGGGGTCAAGCGATCCTCCTGCCTCAGCCTCCCCAGTAGCTGGGACTACAGGTGCTCACAACCACGCCTGGCTAATTTTTCTATTTTTCTTAGCGACGAGGGGGTCTTGCTCTTGCTCAGGCTGGTCTCGAAGTCCTGACCTCCAGCAATCCTCTGGCCTCGGCCTCCCAGAGTGCTAGGATTATAGGCGTGAGCCACCATGCCTGGCCGAGAAGTAATTCTTTATACTGAACACTGTTTTGCAAACAGTTCTATTTTTCTTTTCTTTTTTTTTTTGAGACAGAGTCTAGCTCTGTTGCCCTGGCTAGAGTGCCGTGGCGTCAGCCTAGCTCATGGCAACCTCAAACTCCTGGGCTCAAGTGATCTTCCTGCCTCAGCTTCCCGAGTAGCTGGGACTACAGGCATGCGCCACCATGCCCGGCTAATTTTTTCTATATATTTTTAGTTGTCCGATTAATTTCTTTCTATTTTTAGTA